GTGCAGAGGGGGGGGGGCTGGGGTGCTTGAGCACCTGCCCCTTTAGTGGTCTCTGCACGGCCCTGATCCTGAGCCACGCTCAACTGCAGGATCAGAGTTCAAAGAATCTTGCTGCTGATGCTGTAGGATCAAGCAGAAATACAAACTAGATAATTCTTTGTTTACATGACAAATAATAGTAACTCCATTAACTGTAAACCCTGCTGTTTCACACAATAACAAAATGAGAACCTCTCTAGATTATTCTCAATTAAAAGCATAATATTTATAACCAAGTGTGTGATTTGTGAAACTTCAATAAAAGTTGATTTCACCATTTTTATGCTTCGGATAACACTAGAACTGCTCTTTATTGAAGTTTCACAAATCAGATAAAGGTTTCACAAATCCCACATTTAGTTTTAAATATTCTGCTATTAGTTGAGAATAATCTAGTCCAGGTTTGAAGAGTCTAGGTGTCAGTCTTTCAACTAGAGTAAATTAAAGATGCTGATGGTATTGAAAAATTAGGTGGAAGTCATTAGCCATTTCCTGAATTGGAAGCTGCATTTGGAAACCAGCTTCAGCATTGTCTGTAGTGTTTTTCTCATCAAATGTATTTTTTCTGCTTACGTCACCAACAACAGCATTATTTTTGTTAACCTACATTAAAAAATATTGTGTCATCAGAGCATATTTTATTTTTCAACCAAAATCAGTTGTAGAAATGTTCAAAACTTTTTCTTTGTTTGCAGGTTTGCTTGAGCAGAAATGGAGTAACATCTGGGGATGTCCTGAATCTTAAGCATTAACTTCATTTAACTTCATTTTTTTAGCACAAAATTTTTATCCATATACTTCAAAATAACTGCTGGTCCATTGGTGCTGGGGAAGTCTGATAACTGATGGGTAGTATTATCTTTACAAACACAGTAAAGATAATATTGTTTTTTTGTTGAGTGGATGAACTTAAATAGACAGGCTCTTAGTACAACAATAAAAATTACTACTTAAATGTTATCTTTGATTTTACAGATTCAGTTATATTAAATTCATTTCACCACAGAATCATTTTTATCAGTGTATAATGTATTTTATACGTGTTCTAATCTGTAGTAAATGCTGAAACTGATTAAATATTGTGTAAGCGTTGCACAGCTGCAGTCTGGTCAACTGGCCTCCCATCCACATGCTCCATGTGTGCTCTCATCCTCTCTGCTCCCAAAACCCTTATTTCCACTTTGACTCATCCCTCTAATAATTTCATTTTGCTAAGCCCTGTCTTCAGTCAACCAGTTTCAACATACATTCATCGTAGCATGAGCCTGCATCTCAGGAGCAGCCGTCTTAGTCGCAGCAGAAACAGCATCTTTCTCTGTGAAAAGCTTTCATGATTCTCCTTCAGGAGCCAAGGTCGCAACTTGGTGAGGTGTAAAAGAACGAGGCTGAATCAGTTCTATTATGAAGGAACCACTGCACAGAAACTCTGCAGCAGCAGTCCATATCCAATGGCAACAACAAAAACAAAAAAAACACATGCAGAGAGTGGTTACTATGGCAACCCACCTCACCTATGACCATCTCTGCTCGCTCCCTTCGTCCATCCATTTTTCCTGTAGGATGGAAGGGGCATCAGAAAGATTTGGTTCCCTTGCATCCCACACAGAAGCAGAAAGAGGGACAAGAAGTGAAAAACGCTAGTCATTTTCTGTTTCTACTCACCCTGTTCTTATGGTGTATCACCCCACAGCCAATCCACGCCTGTTTGAAGCATTGCTAGTCCTTCTCTGTAATCATTCATGTTTTCAGTTCTTTCCTGCTGTCACTGAATGTCAGATGGCAAACATCAGATATTTTAAGCCAACACCACCCAGCTTTTGTAGTTCGATGTGCATTTCCATTTATTTCTTGACTTAATATATAGAAAATAAATTACACTCCAGCTTTCCACCTTCTTTGCTCTTACTTAATAAATAGCAGATGGTTGCGGATGGAAGCTGCTACTAATAATTGTGTTGAACATTTTTTTTATTCTGTTTTTATTTTCATTTCAAATGTTCTTAACCCTTTGTTTTTTCAACCTCTCAGTGTCATGTTCCGTGTTTCTGTGTGTTTATTTTTGAGTTTCTGTGTAGTTCTGTTCCCTGTGAGTCTGTCTCTGCGTCTTCCCCATTGATTGTTTCCCAGGTGTGTCTCATTCCCTTAATTACCCCGTGTGTATTTAAACCCACCTGTTGTCTGTGTTCCTCGTCGGGTCCTTGTCTAAGTTTGTCTATTGTTGTCAATGTACGTCTTGGTCTGCATCAGTCTGTCCGTCGTCGCAGTTGAACTGCTAAGTCCTGTGTCGGCGTCAGCTCTAGTGTTTCAGTCTCTGTAGTCAGTTGCTACCGGCATCTAGCTGTGTGCTTGCCTCTCGCCGTGCTGCCTGTCTTGGACTGTTTTTGAGCTTTATCTCATCATTAAACCATCATTATCTTCATACCTGGGTCTCTGCGTTCATCGCCTCACCACCAACCACACCATGCTTCCTGACACTCAGTTGACTTCACATGTCAACTGTGAAGTCAACCTTATCTAACGCTATAAAGCTTTCTGGTTGGGCGAATCAACCAGAAAGCTTTATTAGTGGATCTGTTCTTTTTTTTTCTTTTGCATTCAATTTTTCTCTTTTACATTCAATTAAAGCATGACCAAACTAATCCTACAAGTGTTGAGCTGGGCTAGGTCTAGACTGCAGGGAGGTCATTTTATCCTCTGAAGCGTCGACCGGTTGGGGGAGGATTGGGAGACTTTGGACAAGGCAGACTAGAAATAGAATTAGTGTCTGCCAGCTTCCTTGCAGTATGCAGACTCATTTGTTGCATATTTCTACACCTTCATGTTACTTTTTTCTTTATAATAACTTCCATCTCTCTCAGGCTAGTGTTCAGTGTTTGGCCAAACTTCCAGGCTGTCTCTCTGTTTCCTGTTGCACCTGTCTCAGGATCAGCAGTATGACTCATAAAGCCAGATATGTATAAAGCTGCTAAATGAATAAAAATAGCTCCCGGGCAGAATCTATTCCAAGCATCCTTTGCCTGTTGTGAAAGTTTATCTGAATGTCCCTAGAGATAGAATTATATCTTTCCAAAGTTACTAGAAAACAAGGAATGCACAATAATTTTTACTAATTCCAGTTTAGGATGCTAATGTTTTAAATTTTGAAAGAAAATTGAACAGTCAAAATCTTTAAAAGTATTATTTGTCCTCATTCAGCTGCTCTAAGCCTAAATTAACCGGTTACATGAGTCAAAGAGATTGGACCCTTTATTAGGCAACGTTAGAGCTGTTATTACTTTCAGACAAGTCTTTAAGTAACATACACTGGGCCAAATAAATATCTTGTACACCCCTGATTTTTTTTTTCCAAGCTTCCTCTCTTTCAAAGAATGAAGATGTCTGTAATATTTATTACACTTCAACTTTGAGAAACAGAACCTAAAATTAAAATGCAGAAAATTGCATAGTTTGATTTTGAAATAATTAGACAATTTGTGCTGAATACTTACATTTATTTTTCACATCAGAAAAGACCTTTATTGTGAGTGAGGATGTGGAATAGAAGAAAAGGAAGGACTTTACTATTTTACTTTTCATGTATTATTGTATCCGATTAAAGCAAAACTCCAAAGACTTTTTTTGTCGACCCACTAACATTTGAACATGTTATAGAAAAGAACTCAGCTGATGATGCTGCTGCCTATTCCCAGGAAGCTGTTTACCCACTGGCCATGGTTTGTGTCCTTCACCACTGCTTCATCTGTAATAGTTAAGATTCCAGAGATGTGGCAGTACGACCTGAAGCCATGATTCTGGCATGAAGAGGTCCAGTTCCATCTCTGTGGAACAACACCAAGTACTTTCATGTTGTAGCACCTTTGGATTGATTTTCCACTGATGATGGGAGCACTGTGCTAAGAGTCCTTGCTGGTTGGTAGCTGATGAAAAACTTATTTAGTGCAAAAAAATACTAATTAATATTTTAAAATTTATACAGTGAATTTTTCTGGACTTTTTGTCTTTCACAGTTTGATAGGGGTTTATGATGGAAATTTCAGAGCTCTCCCTTTGTTCCTTTGTTGTAAGAGGGGAAAATGTGAAAAACTAGTTGTGAATTGCATACCTTTTCTCCCCACTGTTTGTCCTTTTTTCTTAGATTTACAGATTTCACTCGTGCACAAGAATTTGTAGTCTCCTATAAAATTCTACACCAAAAGATGAAGATAATGCTGCAAGCTGTTTTTTTGTCTCTGTTGATGGATGTACGGAACATTTCACCTTTAGGGTGTCGAGCAACGAAACATCCACCATTAGATTATCCACCACCAGATACTGTTGTCATCAACATAGTGATAAATGGTTTTACATGTAAATGCTTACATACCTACACAACAAATACAGATTGCATACACTCTGTAGAGACACAGACTTTCCCCTGCCTGTCAACTGTCAAGGCCCACAGTTGCAACATTATTACAGTCATCAATCACAGCTCAAACATTGATTTACATGGAGAATATTATGATGTTGCCATAACTGTCATGTTTTTCAATAACAATAGATTATGTATTACTCTCTTACTGTACAAACAGATTCATGTGTAATCTGTTTAGAAACAGCAGCTTAAACCTGCAAAGGTTTTGAATAATGACATTGTTTTGTTAATGTTTTGGTTTTTGACAAAATAAAATTGTACAATCATCCTGCACCAGCACCGTTACGTGCTATGGTGGCATTAACCAATAGATAAAATGATATTTTTGCAGTATCCAATATTTTGAAGTTTATAATGTTTGCTGACGATACAAATTTCTTTTTTTCTGGAAAAAATATGGATGAAATAATAAAAACAGTAGAAAAAGAACAATTGGTTCCTGCCATGCATTGCATAGCAGGCCCCAATTAGCTGAGTTGAAAACATGGTTTGATTATAAGTTGTCATTAAATGAAGGAAAACTAAATT